GGGCGATGCCTCCCTCCCCTGCGCTGCCAGCAGCCCGGTCGGGCAGGGAGGTCTCACCGGTCCCTTCGGGAAGGTTCCCAGGACCCCGCCCGGTGAGCGGCCGGCCGGCGCCCCGGCCCTGGGCCAGAAGAGCAGCGGGGCCGGGGCGAGGCCTTTCCTCGGTCTCGGCCTGCCCGTGCTACCCGGGGGGGGCTGGAGGGTCACAGCGGGGCCGGGTCTTGCAGGCTCACGCGGTGAGATGGCAGGAGGCAGCTTCTCCAAGTTTTTCGGGGTTTTGTGTGAAAAACAGGCGTTACATTTTTGCCGTATTAGTTTATCTGGGCTACTTCTTTTATCCTGGAGCTTCGTCCTGCTGTAGGAAAGTCAGTGAGGTCTAAACCGATGCTCCCTCTGTAGTTATCTGCGAGCCCTGTTGAACTATGCAGGCGCTTTGCTGCTCCTCAGCCTGCTCCTAGCTGAGGCCTCTTCCCGGGCTGGCCCTAATGCAGGCTGTTTCCTAGCTGTTCTCATCGTAGTAAACACGTAGAGATAGTGTTTCCGTTGCTTAAATGATTATATTAGGTAAAATGCTTATTTTTAGAAAACCTCTGGAAAATGAGGTTTTGTACCTGTTGAATTTTCTAGTACGGCATGTATTGCTTAGAATGCAAGGGAGTTCTTCATTCTCCTTTTCTCTGAATTTAGCAGCTGCTTGCTTTTAATGTCCTAACTGGAAGGACTTCAATGACCCTCTTTTAAACCCAAGAGACAATAATGCGTATTGTTACGTATCAGATAGCGAATGTTTCAGGTACTGATCAAAGAGAGTACCTTATCCTGCAAAGCTTGATGGAAAAACAGAAGAACCTGCAGATTTCTCAAAAAACCCCTTGTAGTTCAGTCTATGACCAGGGATTTTTTTTTTTTTTTTTTTTTTGTTTTCTGATTTTTTTTTTTTTTTTTTTTATTTTACATAATTATGATATGAACATAAGTATTGATCCAAAATCCTGACTTCTAGTTTGAGAGAGAAGGGAAGGAAACCTATTTGTTTATGTTAACTTGTAGACAGATTTTTTTTTTTAACTGATTTTACTTTAAAATCTAATTAAAACTAGAAATGTGCTATTTCATTACCTATTTCAAACTTTCAGAAACTCATTTGGGATTTATGTGCTCTTCCTGGCTGAGTGGGGGATATTGGTAGCTAGACTGAAGAGGAAGAAAAATATTTGCATAAGCAGTTAAGTTTTAAAATTCTTGAAAAGTCTTAGTTCTGTTTTTGCTGAGCAACTGTGTTGACAATTGTGGTGGTTTCCTTGCTACAAGTTGCTTTTCCCAAGCAGTAACAATAACGGTTAACTAGACAGACAAGTTTCATTGCTCGTCTGTAGGGAACAGAGAAACTGATATGCCAGCCGACTCTACTACTGTTCAGGAGAGCTTGAATTAGGCCCAGAAATTGTTAACAAAAGACAAAAAGGCAGCAGCTGGAGAGAAAAACTTTATTATGTACATTAAGGCAGCTTTATCTTCATGGTCAAGAAGGAACTGCAGGTGAACAGAGGATACTCTGAGCAGAACAGCAGCAGTAACCTCATAATAGCTATTTGCGTCCTCATCTCTTGTGCTAGATGTGTTGTAGAATTTGGAGGGTTTTTGTTAGTTTGTTTGTTTGAAGTAAGTTAGTAAATCTTGGTTCAGACCAGTGGCTTCTGAACTTTTGGTAGGATCAGACTGCTATCAGTTCACAACACTTCTTGTGAATCACCATGGAACTATATATGTCTAATCTTTAAATTGAAGATACAGTAAAAATGAGACCAGTTCTGCAAGCCATGCTCAATAGCTTTGGCACCGCAGTTTAGGACCTGTTAATTTATGCAATTGCCAGACTTACGCAGGGACTTATGAGGAACATTTTCAAAAACTTTTAAGATTCAAAACCTTTTATATTCAGGTCACTCGACAGGATCCAAACTATGCTTCCAGTGAGCAGTTGTTAGTGGCTTAGTCTTTCATGAAGCAAATCGTGATTTCTGTTTTAGGGTCCATAGCACGGCTGCTGTAATTGCATCTCTGCTGCCAGTCTGGAGAGTAATGCAAGTCCAAACAGCAGTGGTGGCATTCTGTCCCTGCTAGAATTAGAAGTAGTCCCACTAGACATTTAACACTGTGGCTCCTTGAGCAGCTAAGCTGGCAGAAGCTAAGCCGCCCTGCACTGCCTTCTCTGTGTGCTAGCACAAGTGTCAGCCAAACAGTGAATTGGTCTGAGGAACTAAGCCAGGTTAAAAGTAACCCGGAGGGGGGTGGGGGAAGGCAGAAATTCATTTTAATCCAGGTTAGTTTCCAGATAATAATTATATGAATACCCCTGCTGGCACATGAAGAAGCCTAGATGGTCTAAGATTAGGTGCTTCGTGTGTTTTGATCTAATGGCTGATCTGTGTCCCCTGAAGAGTGATTACAGAATCTGTTTCAAAACCGAAGGAAGGAATCAATCTAACAGAGATACTTACTTGCTTTGTTTACCCAGCAGAGGGGCTTGTGTGCACAGCTGAGAAGTTTTTAAACAGTGAGCAGCCGGTCTTGGGTATTGTACTTTGTGTGATACCCGACATGCCTAGTCTTGTATTTTTAAAGATTACTGCTTTCTTTTGTGGATGAGACACAGGCTTTTAGTATCTCTATAAAAATCCATGCTTTGAAACATGAAAGAGGAAATAAAACGGTTAAAAATGAATAAACTCCTGGTGCCCACAGGTTGAGGGTGAATGGATGAGCTGGAAATAAATTTCTGGTGTTAAAAACAAGCAGGTGAAACTTTCTCTCTTGCACTATGTAAACATTTTCTCCAGTTTTTAAGCTGGAGTTTTATTTTATTAAGAGATACAACTCTTAATAACCATTAAAGCAAAAATATAAGGACTGGACTTTTTGAGGTCTGAATCTTAAGATTTAAATTTTTTTTCTTAAGTAATTGATGCCATTACTAAATATGGAAAATAAGACAATTTCTTTTGCTAATTTGGATGTTTGTAAATTGAGTGAAGTAAGCTGCCTTCAGATCAGCTTGCTTTTAGTTCTCTGTTTATTGAGCAGCTTCTTTCTGTCTGGAAAATCTGAAAGGAACACAAACTGATGCTGAAATGTCAGTTTAGACTTAGATTTTCTCCTTGCTGTCATGGTTTAACCCCAGTCAGCAACCAAGCACCACACAGCCGCTCGCTCACCCCCCTGGTCCT